GCAGAGTCTGGCTTTGGTAAAGATCCTTTCGAGAATTATCGGAAACCTTGGGGATTGTGTAATTCACACGATAGTAATGGCAAAGAAAGCTCATCCGTCAGGCGATCAGAACTTCTACAGTGTTTGATCATAACTTTATCGGATCCACTTCTACATTGAGGAAGAGTTTGGTATAAATTTAGGTAGCAACGCGGCCATCTTGGTTCTTTTGGCTTGCTTTCTGTCTATCGTAATTTTCTTCCATGCTGGAATACTTTTATCATACAACGCAAGGATTGATTTCTTCATTCAGGCCAGTGTACAGGCACATTCTATAACTCGAAGTTGGATTCCATTAATTTTCCTCACACATTGGGATTTGTTATGGGTAGTTGTGTCTTTTTTCTGGTTAATCTATGAATCCATAAGGGTGACAACAGCAGTGCTCAGCTGTAGTTTGACAACCTTTGTCTCATTGCGCTGAGTTCCTGTTGATGTGATCTTCATATACTAGCGCTACTGGGCTGACTGTGATGCCCCTGGATGGCGATGAGAGATATACTTTCGTGAGGTGTCACTAAGGGGTAGCTAGTGAGAGCTGCACCTTTACTTTGCGCTTTCTGGGTTATTTTACCTTTCATTGCTGTTCCATTAGTGAACAGTAAAGGTAACTTCCCGAAAGAATTATATCATAAACAATATACATATTCTTGTGTTTTCAGTGATTTACGTAGGCGAATGTAGCTGGAAAAACACTAGAATGAACTTCTTGAAATATTTTAATGAAATCCAGCAGGAACTCTTTGTTAGCAGTTTTGCATATTTTCCTGTGTTTTATGAAATTAAAAATATCCTGGATATTGAATATACATTGTGAATGCTTCGCAGGAAGGGTATTGTGCGACACGTTTTCCCTGAATTTTCCAAAATCCAATTTCATGACCTTAAAAGTGATTCCGTTGTGGGTCAGGGGAGCCTCATGGAATTGGTCAACACGGTGAGAGAAGCAACATCTGCCTTGCTTGACGGAGCGATCGTACCCACATTAGAGAATGTGTAGGCTTCACTGCAGAATACGGACAGCAACATTGAAATGAATGCGAACATAGAGGGGAGCTCCATAACGCTGTGTATCACCCCTCTCGCCCCTATGGTATTTAAGCGGGAGGGAAAAAGTACATCCAAAGGGAGCATCCTCAACGTGGGCACTGTCTCATCAATATAAGAGTGTGTGAGCACTTTCCTCAGTGTTGTTATCTGCAAAAAGCACGAATTTAACCCCATTGAGCTTATCCCCAGGAATCTGTGTTATTTAACCAAGTCTGTGGTTTCACCTAAGCCTGCAAGTGTCCGCTGTCAATGTTACGAAAAGCGTCGACAAGCGCATATGGCTGCTGTTATATCTAACGGAATGGAGTTGGAGAAAGCTGTTCAGAACTCAATGAAGAATACTCACGTGAGCCCTTCTGTTAGGAAACCTCTAAAACAGACAGCTACGGCGAGACTCTGCACTCAGATAAAAGTGCCGCTCAGGATCTTCATCATAGAGCTCCATGAATAAGCTGAATATCAGAAAACACCATCAAAAAGGGAAAAAACAGTATGATTACTGAAAAAATGACCTCAGTCGGCTCCTCGATGACCTATTTTCAACTTCCAAAGAAGATGAGTTGTTGAACAACATCATGTATTTTTTAGTGGAGCGCCATCCGTTGGTGTGTATATCCGTAGATCATTTGGTTGGAGCTTCCATAACCCCAAATCTCTTTTTTCAAGGCCAATCATCACATCCTTCAGATAGGAACACCTTCCAAAACAGCGTTGCTTATAAAACTCAGTCCCACAGCACCTCGGTTGAAATTGAAGAAGGGCTTAAAGTTCCGGATAAGGTAATTCTCTATGAAAAGAGGGCACCCCTGCGGTATATGCCGGCCACCTCTTCGTGGTGCCGCGGACTAGTAGCCAATTGGCGAAGCTAAGTGCCTGCACACGCCTTCCTGTCACAGACAGGGGCATGTAGGCATGTTTAGTGGCACTGGTAGGGCATTCGACAGGGGCCTCTCCAGAGGCTGTCCGAGCGGATGTAACACTCCGACTGAACACTGTTAACGCTTATCTGGTCTCCAGATACAGGTTCAAATACACTAAGGGCATTCAAGCCCTGCTTCTATGTTGTGAAGATATCCACGAGAACTATGGACGCCTCAATGTGGCACAGTGGTGAAAGAGGACAGAGCAGATTGTTCAACAGCAAAGAGAATCAATGGAAGAGACGGTGGATTTGCATTGCTTTTTTAAAAAAGTAATGAATACTCAGCAAAATTATACAATGGCTCGTTTGAGGCGGGAACAGGAAACTCTGTGTAATGTAAAAAAGGAGGAAAGCTGTGTTCAAACTGCCGGAACCTTGGACATGGTGTATTTTAGATGATCCCTAAATACTACTATTTTTCATTATGATAACACATACTTAAGCTCGAGTTGCCCCATCTCTGTTGACCAAAGTTTGCTTTCTTGCATCAAGATTTCGTGTTGAGTGCATAATAAAGGAAAGCATACATAATCGATATCAGTGAAAATAATAGAAAAGTACTAACAAAAGTTACTCTAAATATTCATTGCAAGCATTGCCCCAAAAGGTTGTAGCTAGAAGGGGTATTGTATTTCTTGTAAACATCATTTTTATAAGGCTTTCTCCCCAAATGATACTTTTCTTTTCCACGTGAACAGATGATATACATACATGTATTTTAGATTTTGTTTATAAAGTATCTACTTTCCTTTATATTTTAACTTATACTTTTTATATAACCACGTCTTACCTTAACACCTAATACCAGTATATAGACATATCATAATCAAAAATAATTGATTTGGATATTTAACCTTGTATTTAGAATTCTTTTGTTAACTTTTTTAGTCTGTTTGAATTAGAAGAAATCAGTTTAGCAACTGTATAATTTGGAGGGTTACAATATAAGCGAAATTCTACTCATAGTTTAGTGTAGCCAAGGGACCATTTGCTTCTAGTTATCAGTGCGAATTCCTTTTATACACATCTATTTTGTTTGCATGCATACGATATACATGCTCAGCATCATGGTGTCGTTATGTAGTACATTGTTTAATTCGAAATGGAAATATTATTAATTTCATTGACTAATTTGTTTTAATTGACCTCCAAAATCGTACTTCATTCAGTATACTGTCCACGGGATCGTTTGCCGATTGAATCTGTAATGTTGCTTCTTACTTCCCGGTCATGACTTTTCATTATTTCAGAAAAAGGGATAACAAAACACATAAATTTTCAACATAAAGGATAATATTTCATCATTTTGTTCAAGTGTTTGAGTAGATTTATATCGATAATCTCTCGTCGACAAAATGAATGCACCTACACAGCAACCACTTCGTGTGGCATCGCCAGCGAAAGTACCGATGAAGGTGTCAGTAAAAATTCCAATGAATTCAACAGCAAATATTGCCTCGATGATGGCTATCAACCAGCGTCCTTTTGATTCATCACAGCCGGTGGACGCTGTGGGCTCCGATTTTAAGCGGCTCTTCGTCGAAGCTCTCAATCCACGCCAGAGTAGTGCATCGTTTTCAACATCCTCGTGCAGCTCCTCGAAGTCGTCAAGTGACGATTCGACTTCTTCCAACAATTCACGGGATTCGTCCGATATTGACTCTAGTTCCAGTGAACGTGGTACCAGCAGCAGCCGCTCCGGCTCTGTGTCGACGTCTTCGGACGCCGCCAATGAACCAACTTTGTTTCAATTAGCCAAAAATGAGGGACTTCTGAGTGAGGATGCTCTCCTACAGGATGAAGAAGAGGAAATAACGGAGCCAATAATACCTCCACGCCCACCTATCATTCGGAACTTTCCATCCCACCTTGACAAAAGAATAGAGAGCTACGAGGAGCGACTTAATCGTGAGCAAAATGCCATTGTTATCAAGGACAACAACAAGACGGTATCGCTTGGGACTAGTAAGGTTAACTATATCGACCCCCGTATTATTTGTTCATGGGCTAGGGAGCAAAACGTGCCAATTAATAAAATATTTTCCGCCACACTCCAGAAAAAGTTTTCGTGGGCTATGGGCGTACAGAGTTTTAACTTTTAAGATAACGATCATGGCATTATAAACATAGCAGTTGTCTCAATAGATTTTCTCAGGGAATCGGTAGGGGTAATTTTTTTGTGCGATATATGGGAAAGTAGATGGATACACCTAGTAAGCAGAGATAATAATAGTGTAATAGAAGGTTTGCTTAAACAAATCCCCTTACGCACAGTAATGCGAAGTTTTTTGGATGGATCGACAAGCTTTCGCAGTGATCAGAACTTATATATTACCCTGTTGCAATAGGGTACAAGAGATACGTCTTCTATTTTCTCTTGGTGTCCTTTCATTCCAATATAATCTGTGTTTATTATCTTTTAATCAATGTATGAGACAAAAAGAATCCGTTATGGTATTCAGTTAAAAATAAACACATTCATTCGTATATTCAGTTCAAATTTTGAAACGTTTTTCTTAGGTTACAAATTATTTTATGAATGTCTGAGGAGTCATGCGACAACAGCAAGTATAACAAGCGTGATTACTGGGACCAGCGATACACTAACGAGACCGAATACGATTGGTTACCTTCAATTTACCCTGCTTGTGTCCAGGCTGTGTTTAGTTCTGTGGAAAAAGTTTACGAAGAGGAACACCGGCGTTGTCCATGCGATAAGAGTAGGGAGCCACATGTGATTAAAGTTCTTCATCTTGGTGTTGGTAACTCGAATTTGTGTGTCGATCTGTATAACCACTACATCAAAAAATACTCGGACCCTAAGGCTGCTCCTTACCATCTAGTGCAAGTTGCCATAGATTACTCTGAAGTAGTCATAGAGAAGATGCAATTGAAACACGCCGATTTTTCGAATCTACACTGGGTGGTGGCTGATGTGCGTGATCTAGAAGAGGTGCGGCGTCTCTACGGGCCGTCCTTTGATGTTGTCATCGATAAATGCATGATGGATGCATTTCAAACGGACAAAGATAGTTCAAGAATGAAAGAGGATATCTATCGAATGCTTCACGAGGTAAGCTTATGCTTTACAGATCCAGATCGAACAAGTCCTCGGCGGTATGGGCAGTTCATTCAAATAACCTGGGAAATACCTTATTTCCGATTACATTATACTTTAGCAAAGGAATCATCTACTATGTTTGCTTGGGGAGCCAATGCAAGCTACCGATTTCTGGGTGATAGCGATTTGTATCGTCTATATGTTTATGAAGTTCAGCCGTAAGTTGCTTAATTTGTACACAAGAAGACGTTCTATAGTGTCAACGGCCTATTGATTACTTCTCATCACCTTTTTAATAAAGTAAGGGGATTTTTATTAAACATGATAGCTTGGATTATAATTTTTTTTCAAGGTGAACTTCACCGTTGAGGAAGGAACATGAAGATATGTAGGAAAAATGAATTGAGCATTTGGCGAGTTTAAACTCAACAATCCTGTTCATTACTGGCTTAATTTTTTCCTTTCTCAATTTCCTCTTCATTCTCCAATTTGCCCTATCCCCTCTGTGGAGTTTATTTCATGACTCTCGTTTTTTAATCTAGATGTGGGATAGGGAAGAAGAAGGTGTGAAAAATTATCTTCTCTCTCGTGCAGACACGCTACTTTTTCCATGCGGACAATCAAGGGGTGGTGTCTTCCTTCATGGGGGGCCCTCTGGAGTGACTACAGCTCATTACATCTGCTGACTCAGCGGCGGTACCTGCATCGCTATCCTATCCGTATGGGCCTGAGGCGAAGGCCCCTTAACAGGTCGGGAGCTTGTGGACCGAAGGCCACTCCTCTGGCTGGATCTCTCCGAGCCCCCAAGGGAGAAATTAGTCCTGTCCCTCCCTCCACAGTCATGTCCATAGGGAAGTGTAGTAAAGAGCAGAAGTCGGCCATGGCGTCTGTTTCAGCTTCCTGTCCAACAGATCCCCACGCCAGTATATCCTTGGCCTCTACATGGTACCATGGAACACCGCATCAGGAGGGCCACCGAGCATTGCTATTAGACTTAACACTTTATCGCCAGGAGACGCTTCTTCCAATTCTCCATGCGTTGAAGAAGGAACGATGTCTGCTGGAAAAACGAATGGTTGAATTTGAACACAAGGTGAAAGAACTATGGGAAGTGCGGGAGAAGATTAAGGCAATGATTCTTCAACATGAAAGCATACAGCAGCAAGAAATGTTGCGGTTATTTGAGTCGTCCCAAGGCGTAAGTCCTATAACTTCTGGCGAGATTCAAAACGCCAAAATGCCAGCTAATGAAACAATTGAGCTCTGAATGGAAAATATTCTACTATTTTCCTTTTTTCATCGAAAATGTATCTCAATAAATGTCATTTTATGCTATTTGGTTGATCATTTTTTTTAGCTATCATGTAGTATGTATTTAACCTTCTATTTACCATATTGTTGAAGATAGGCGCGTGAAATCCTTGTGTTGTTGTCTTTTGGTGCTCCTTTTGGCAACTACTTTTGCTTTTGTTTGGGTTGGCATGCTGATGATGGTACAACAATTAAAGTGCATCCGGTATGCATCTATGAAGATTTGGTAAACTCAAGCATTTCATTGGGTAAAAAGCAGAGCATGGCGTCGTATGCGTAGTTTAGGGGAAGGAAAAAACAATAATACTGGTTTTTGATATGAATAGGATCTAGTAAATACACTGATACATAGATCATATTGAGTGTCGTTGTAACTAGATTTTGTGGTGCGTGATATGTCAGACAGGACAGCATTTCGTCTTTCTTGCGTGTGCGTATGTGAATGCCGCATTATTGTGGTAAATAAAATCAAAGCTGGTTTAGTGTGGTTTTACCTCTTCTCATTTCACTCTAAGTTATTTTTTCCCCTGCTTTAACTACCTCTCTCTTTTTCTATTGATCTTTTCGTATTTTAAGACCACTTTTTGTTCTTTTAAGTTATATAATTTAATTCTATTTTTCATTTCAAGTGACTCTCCGTGTGCGACTTTTCACTTGTAACCTGATAGGGCACAATTCCGTCTTAGACGTATCGAATGCAAAGAGGGAGAGGAGCAGACCTTCCTTGTTGACCGGTAACATGAGGTACCAGTTGTCATTCTTAGCATTCCGTCTTTTGCTCATATCCTGCTTTTTGATTTGCTTGTGTGGGCTAACGCTACATGCTGAAGGAATTTTCCTATTCGGGATCTTTCGATCAAGAAATACTCACCACGCAGCATATCCACGGAGTGGCTCGCTGCGCCTTGAACTGATTCAGGCTAGTGAAAAGGCGCGTGCCTTGTGGAACAAAATTGAGGCCAAAGGTCACATGAGCCCATGTTGGAAAAGGTCTATTGCAGCGCTACGCAGCGACTGTGCTAATATACGCGCCGATAACCCCTTACGTACGCGTCTGGCACTTGGTATGGCAGCCTGCGATAGTGAAGGTGACGGCCGGGGTGGGTCCTCGTCCTTTTACTGCAAACCGCAACAAAGCCCTCACAACTGTGTGAGGACCCTGTCTGAGCCAGCCTACGCTATCTTCATTCAATATCGCTTACACACTGATGTTTTGTGTGCTTTTTTACAAGAAGAACTTTTCCAAGAGCGCACAGAAGCTGCGGTGGCTGCGCTGGAGTCTGCCGCTGAGCTAAGTATTGATTCTCTCACAACTTTGCAACATAGTAACGTGAAACTGCTTCGCACTGCAGAAGAAACGATGGAGTCTCAGCAAGAGTCGAAGCGCTTAACGGTTGAGCTACAGGAATACCTCCAGAAGTTGCAAAACAATCAGACAAATACGATGCAGCGGCTGCAGGTCTCAGCTCATGATATTTTACACATATCTAAGCACACGGAAGAATCCTTGCTGCGTCTACAAGAATTGCTGAACTCAGTCGCTTTTAACGCGAGTTGCAAGCTTGACGAGTTAGTAGCTCAGGCCGCTGAGCATTACACATTCATGGAGCAACGCACAAGTAAAATTTTTAATGTGCTCAAGTACATCGAAGAGACTCACAAAAAAATGATGGGACGCACAATATCTCTGCGAAGAGCACTGCAATACATGTTGGTAGTTTTAATTATCATATTCTTCACAATGTCAAGGAGAACGTCTGCGGCGCGGTTGCCTGTCTTAGGCTTTCTAGCAGCGGGGCCGCTTGCTTGTATGTTTACTGGGGGCGGTCGCTTTGGGTGTGTGCCGTGGATTGTCGTTGCTGTGGGAGCTGCTATGATGACGATAGGCTACTTTTGGTACACCTATGTTTCAGTGGAATGCCTGCAGAGGCAGATGGTGCATGAAGAGGTGATGCATATTGTCAAGAAAAGCCAGATGGATCTTATGGCGTGGATGGGGGACAAGGAAGTTTCTCCCTCTCTGTGTAGTTCAGTTTCAAGTGTAAAAACTATTGAACGGATGCCATCGGTCTCCTCGTTACTCCACCAGGCTTTTCATCCCTTGCTGCCGTGGGCTCAACTACCCAAGGAGTCTGTTCCATCACCGATTAACACCGTTTCTTTTCCAAGCACAGCCATATTAGACCATCGTATCGACGACAAAAATTGTAATCGAAGTCAAGAAGCTCATCCTGAGAAGACAATGCTTGAGGTAGATATTGAACCAAGCCGACCGTTATCACTTGAAGTAGCCATACCAAAGAACCCACCGAGGCTTCCCGTAATGAAGAGGCCTCGTACCAAAAGCACAGCCTTCTCTTCTGATAAACCCATTGCCATGGGAAAAAACACGCGGTCTACTCGCCAGCGTCGCAGGCGAATTGATAAATGAATATATAAGATGTCTCGATAGACTTGTTATCTTTTTGAGACCGGATGTAAGTAAGTACACCGATGGTGGTGATTCCGCCTATGCAAGTATAATCAGAGAATTATCTTTTCATAGTATTTTCCTTTATATGCACATTTCTTTTCATTTTGGATACATAAATAAATAAATGTTGTATATATCCTTTCTGTGGCGCTGGACTCTCAGTGTTGCAGGTTCTCCTATAATTTATAAAAACTTCCTCTCTTCAATATTTGTGAAGGCAGCAATCTGCTGAAAACAGTCAGGACTGCAGCGATAGGTGGGGAAAGTCATGCCTCATCCATTTTTCGTGTGTATTTGAAGGATACCAAAATATTGATGTACGATGTACCTTTCTTTTGTGGTTTAGTTACACCGGACCGGAAAGGAAGTGGACTAAATAATTAGAGATTTAACTGAATAGCAAGTTGATGCGTAGAGTCATATCTCTTTGTAGCTCCACATTCATATATCATTTACTTTCCTTCATAGAATATTTACTGCCATATGTTAGTTGGGGTAGGGTTGTTACAGCGTGGCACATGAGAGGAGTCTACAAAAATTAAAGAAACATACAGGATAAACATCATTTCTCTTACCTTAGCTTATTACTTAGTATACAGATCAAGTTCTTGAATGCAATTTGATTTATGGTTCTAATATTTTAAGTAATGCGTACAAACTGCAGTATTCCCATCGGTACATGAGGTCCTGTGGAGTTCACTAGCCATGTGTTTTCGGAGAAAACTTGGAGCTCGAATGTGGTACGCTGTGGATCCTAATTTAGTACATCTGTGTGGATATTACACCGTCACTGAAGTCGGAGGGCACCGCTTCTGTGTGCGTGTTTATTCCTTAAGAATTCATGAAGCCGATTTCCTTTCTGAGGGTCAGTATTTCTGACCCATGCCGTGTCGCCGCAGCTCTTCATGTTCTTCAAAGCGTTTGCAGCTTGCATCAGGTCGAGATAAGGAGTTTATAGCTCGAGAATTAATAAAGGGAGGTGACAGGACGCGCGCTCAAAGGGTTACAACAGAGACGCCGTTCGGAAAAGCGTCTGTAAAACATCTAACGAAATGTGGCAGTGATGAAGCAATACACGTTCATTGTCCAAGAATAAAGGACTTTGGAGAAGTAGTATCTGACACTGGGGATGAAATTGCATGTTAACGCATCAACTGGATAAGAGAAGAGAGACTCACATCAATCGAAAGAAATGCAAAATCACCGACCTCGTTGTTCGCACGCATGCTGTCACCTGCTGCAGTCAATCTTATCCGGAAGTTAATTCTAGGAGTACAAGAGCAGATTCAGAACACACACTTACCTTCGCGTACAACGTAACGTTTCATCTGCGGTACGCCGCCTCATTATCGAAGGCTGGTCTGTGATATGATCGCATGTGGAAGATTTTTAATGAGAAATCTACATCAGGATACGAATGAAAATGATCGCGACTGGAAGACCTACAGAAGGACAAAAGTAACGTCATGGGGCTGTTGTTTTGATGACGAAAGTCGCCTTGGAAAAAGCATATCCATACGAGTTATGACGTCTGGGTCTGCGTGTCAATCACCTAGGATATACTCTAAAGTCAGTATGTGGCGATGTTTATGATGTCTCTTACTATAAACATCTTCTTTACGATTCTTATTCTCATTTAAACATCGATTCTGAGTTTAGGTGCAAAAAATATTAATCGCGCAGTTTCTGACATTTTTTCCCATAATTCATTGTTGCCATAGTGCTGTTGGACGGAGGGCACTCACACACATAATAAGCAAAGATCCTTTTTGTTAAATTCAGGATCACAGTGTGTGGAGATGGCTCTAGCATCACAGCGGTTAGAAGCCACGCGGGGTCTAGTTCCGCTTCGCCATTATGTATGCCTCCCCGGCGACCCATTGTTGGCGGCGCGACCGGGTGCAGTAGTTGCTGTCCAAGGCGAGCTGAGTTTCCTGGAAGGGGCATCAAACTCAGAGAATGAGCGGGTCCTTGTTTCAGAAATATGTGCCGCGGCTGACCGCTGGTTTCATCCATTGAATAAGCACGTACCTTGCTATTCCATGCGGTCCCCAGCCACGCGCCGCTACGTTTGCTGCGAGGGTGACCCTGTTGTTGCTACAATTTTGCGTCGTGTGGGATCGCAGTGCTACCAGTGCTATATTGATGGACATTACGTGGCGTATCTAGATACTTTGGCGTTTGATGGTGCCACAAAAAAAAGCTACCCACGACTGGAGGAAGGTGATATTGTTTACGCTTACGTCAAACCACGCCCAGCTGGCAACCTGCTAGGGCACACCACCGTCAACAACCGTATGTCAGTTGAGGAGAACTGTAGCACCCTTGTTGGCAATTCTTCAGAAGTGCAGCTATCCTGTGTGGCGGCCGAAGTCGGGCTCATACCTAATGACTGGACGTCTGGGAAGAGCGTGTTCGGTCCACTGCGAGGGGGGCGGGTCCTGACGCTGCCGCTGCCGTACGTCCGTGGCCTTGTGGCTGCATCCCCTCTGGACTTGATCCCTGCCTCTAACCTCATTTCGGCTATAGGGGCAAGGGTGCCATTTAAGATATGCACAGGGGCTAACGGACGGGTGTGGGTCAAGGGATTCCCCAGTGAAGCTGACCAAACTGCAGAGACACGCCGCACGGTCGCTGTTTGCGCCTGTCTGACGGAGGCTCAATACGATAACACTCGAGAAGAGATAGATGCGCGTGTTGAGGCCTTTTTCCCACAGTCATGTTTCTCGTGATAATTTTGACATCAGTATGAATCTTAAACGCATCTTTTACTAATTATCTTTTTTCTGAACTACCCGGTGAGGTGATTTTTTTTTCAGAATCCTCCGTTTTGTATGTTTTTGCTCACTTTTCAAGCAAGTATGAGCCCGCCTATGATGACATTATTTCAGCGGCATAGCCCCTAGGAGTAGTAATACACCCAGATTATTCGGTCCTTTTTTCACTTTCTTTAATGCTATTGAGTGAATGATAATGGTGTTCAAGTTAAATATAGTATATTACATAATCAATTTCAGTTAACCTGTAAATAGTCAAACAAAGCACAAAGTAAAGTAGTTGGTGTTATTATACCAGATCAAAATGGTCAATAAGGAAGCGTCGGACTTTACTCAATTCGTTAAATATCTCAACAATAGCTTCCCCGCTCCTTCCAGCAATGCCGTCAACATCTGGGTCTCATCTGTCGCGCCAGAAGAAAGCACCGCTTCCCATGTAACCTCACCTTCACATTCTGAGTTCATGACGCTCACCCGGACTGCTGATAGCTCGTGGCGTGCTCTAACGGTAAGCGATTCAGCTGTCAAAGAGAGTAGTAAGCTGGGAGGTAACCACACTTCAGGGGAGCGCACGATGGCTGGATCTACCACCGTTGTCCTTCACTACCCTAGCATTACGGTTGGACGCATGATGGTTTCAACCGAAGACAGGTGGCGTATCCACGCTCAGATGCGCCGAGAGGAGGCAAAGAGCGGGCAGATGCGAAAAGAGTATAACAAAAAGGTTACACGTGCAATAAAGACCACTAAGGGTCCTCAGCCTGAGGGGTTTCCTCCAGGTCGTGGACGCCCCGTTTAAGGATAAAAGAGGCCACCGGTGAATTTTTTCTCGACTCTGAGCACTGTAATTACAGGAATACTTTCTAGTAAAAATAGCAAATAGGGCTAGTGCGATTTTATCGTTCCACTTTCGATACTCAATTTTTGGGCAGACTCAAGGTGCGTCTTCAATGCCGGAGTCTAAGGTATCATGATTTGGTATGAACGAAAGGGATAAAAACGACAAAAATTGTTGTGCAACTCGCGGTATGATGGGAACCCTTCCCATCGGGTAGCGCAAACGGCCACATTGCATGTTTCACCCTTCCCCTTCCCCCTCTCCGTTTAGTTCATGCATGTCGCTTTCCTCTGTACCCTTTCTTCTCATGTACCAATTTTCCAGGCATAATTTTCAGGTAAGGAGCAAGATGCATTCTGTTCAAGTGAAAACGGAGGCCTCAGCGTCATCATTACGGCAACAGCAGGCCTCATCCATGGGGAGACTAGGGAGTAATACGGATCATGCAATCAAACTCGCAGAGCTGCTTATGCGAGCATCTGTCGTCATCAAGGAGGAACGTCTCAGATCAACTACCCTCGCAGTACGCAATGACCAGCTCAGTGTTGTGTTGGAGGGCTTTCTTCGGGAAAATTTTGAGAGCCGAGATTCTCTAGCTGCTGTGCGTCAGTGTCTACACAAGAGCACTGCACAATTAGGACAACTTCAGGGTTCTTGCACTTCAATATCAAACCCAATTGACAGTCACCAAATGCTGGAAAACAGTGCTAAAACGGGTATTAAAAACTCAACTACATCACACCAGTTGATAATATGCAATGAACTACAGAAAGATGCATGCGCAGTTACCACTGCCGATGTTGCTTCCATAGCAGCTACACGGCTGCGTCGCGCCTTAGTTCCTGCACCGAACAAACAGCAGCTTGGTGAAGTGGTAGATGTTATGGTCAGAGCTTTGCATAAAGATCTAAAGCAGAAGGTATCCAGCAGAGAATCCCAACTACCGCTGAAGGTCAGCACAACGGCATCAAAACTTCATTTCCATCGACTGAAAGCATGCATGTACCTTTTCGAGTTGACCTGCTCTAATACCACATTTGAATCTCTTCCGTGTAGTGGTAGTACTTACGGGCGCACACGTGAGAGAGACTCGGTCTCCGTATATTTATATCCCTCAAACACAAATATTACCAAACACACATTCCCTAAGACGAGGAAAAGGCAGCAAGTACTCAACTTTGCCATACACAGTGATCAGCTTTGCATACTCAGAGGGGGAGGTCACGTAAATGCATTAGAATACTTTGAAAGGGAGCTTCATGCTTGGTATAATGGGCTCGCAAAGGTCTCGGCGTCTTGACTTGCGAACTTTTGTATAAAATTGAAGATGATATCAAAGAGAAAGGCCCTGTTGCAAACATATGACATATTATGGATAGATATTAATTTGTAGGAAAACAGAATAAGAATTATGAAGCTTATATGTCGAAGGTAAATTCCATGACAAGCATACCTAATTTACGAAAAAAATATATCCAATACCATCATACCTAATTTTTTTTGAATAAAAGAATAGTAAATTAAAAATAAATTAAGTTGATAAAATCTGAAATAAATATCAAATTTGGACCCACGCACAAATACGCTA